GTAATAGAGAGAGTAGTGGGGAGACAGAGCAGCGCATGCGCAAGAGTCGATAACAGCAGAGTGGAAGATGCTAGAAATCAGTTACAAGTCGGCAGCCTCCGAGGGTGGTCGATAATGGAAGACGTACAGGAACAAGATATTACATCAACCAAAGATTCACAAGTCCTATCTGATACGAGCTCGTCTAGTGATAGTGATAGTAGTTCCAGTTGTAGCACTTGTTCATCGTCAAGTTCCTCGAGTAGCAGTGCTTCCAGCAAAGAACCTCCACGGAAGAAGACATGCAACGCAGTAGGTCCAACACAGATACCAGAAGAAAGCGACCAGCCAAGTGTACAGACAAGCAACATGAATGCAAGGAAATATATTGATAAAGGAAACCCTGACAAGCTGCCATCAGCATATTCAGATCCGCGTCCAAAAAAACAAAGGGTCGCAGCTACAAAAAATAATCCACCAGCGGTCAAACCTAGTGAAAAAACAAATAAAATAAAAACCGCGGGTGAGAAAAAGATGATAAGTGCAAAGCAAATCGGACAACACATAGAGGAAGCTATCGCGGCTGTATTAGCAGGTCCGGAAAGACAGGAGGAACCGAACAAAGACCATAGTCGACGAGTAACAGGCGGCACAAGTTCTCGGCGCCCTCAATGCCAATATTCGAGGAACAAAAGGCCAAGAATCCATATAGTAGACAACAAACAACGAGAAAACCGATTAATAAACCTTCCCAGCTTCCACCAATACCACGGCTCGGGAAAGAAAATACCACGAATCGTTGTCCAACTAAGTTGACTAGTGTTTCCCAACCACCGGTACAAGAAAAGATAAAATCTAGGGTAATAGTGCCGCCGAAACGGCCAAACGAACCAAAAAACAAGGTGACCGGCTGGGTCAACAAACGGGACAACACAAGTGTTACGGCCTCGCGTCATTCGGATAGATTTTTCTTCTATCAATAAACTTCTGCCATCCTTCCTCCACACTTACTTACCCCTACTCCCCGGACTTTATACTATGTCGTACTGTTCAACTAACTCCACATTAATTTAACACACCTTTTCTATGATAAATAATCATATGATGGTAAAGTGATTGTCCCCTCTGTACAGATACCCATAATCATCAAATGTGGAAAGCGTCGGAGTAATAATCCTGAGAAATCAGAGCATTAATATTATTAAAAGGATGGTACAATATCGAAATAATGTACCATCTCCAATAAGCGTCGGAGTAATAATTCTGAGAAATTAGAGTGTTAATATTATTAAAAGGATGGTACAATATCGAACTAATGTACCATCTCCAATTAGCATCGGAGAATAATTCTGAGAAATCGGAGCATTAATATTATTAAAAGGACGGTACGTTATCGAAATAATGTACCACCTCCATTTCAATACAACCAGTGGCAAAAATCGAGCACACGAGTAATAAGCATCTCCTACCACAAAAACCCATCTAAATAGCATTGAGAGCACCAAATTTGAGCATGCGAACGTCCGATGTAAAAATTACGCGCGTTCGGTGCCTCGAACCCCTTAAAACTATTCATATAGCATTGAGAGTGCCAAATTGGAGCATGTGAACGTCCGATGTAAAAAATTAAACATGCGCGGATTTCGAGGAATTACATTTATATATTAAATTATGCGAATAATAACCAACTATCCGATACGTATAAAAACCCTAGTTCAGACAATAGAAGCAGCAGTAGAAACTTCAACATCGTGGAAGTTAGTTCATTGATAGTGAAATTTTTGAATTCTTTTTATTTATTATTCTTACTGCTCGAAAAATAAGTAGTTTTCCACCCGTCTTTATTTAACTTATATTCACGTCAACCACTTGAAAAGACATCAAAATCTTAACGAAGGGGACACGGGTTAGAATCCGGCATCTTAACGTCCCAGGGGAACAACGAAACTCCTGCTACTTCGTTATCAAATCTAAGATTTTTATGTTCTAGTTACATCCGCGTCATAAAAATAAAGAGTAGAAGTCCGACACTCTTACCGCGTCTGTTTATAAGATCTCCTACACATATCTATTATAAATTAAAGCCAACATATTCGACTCACAGCGAAGCAAACCCATAACCATCAGAGGGGACAAGAGGGATACCTAAAGTTATAAAACCTATTGTAATCCACGGACCCGTCCTTAGTCACAAAAATTATTTGCCATAATTGCAACCTTTTCTCTATTAATTTTTCGATAATATAACAGTTTCTTCCACGTCGTTGGCTCAGGGGTTAACTTATTTTTGTTTAAATTTTAAATTAACAATCAACCAGTCAATTAAATTATCAGTGTAAATTCAAAGAAATTATACAAACTAAATAAACCTCAGCTTAAAGTAATCAGTGTTAAAATTCTTTGAGATAACCTGTCAATTGTTCATTATCATCTATAAATAAAGAAAAACTTAATTATACATTATAACGATTAAAGAAACTCATCACAACAAGGGCGGTTGTTTTCCGTCAACGTTACATCTAAAGTTACCAGGTATATTTTTTTTTATACATTTTATAAGTGTTCTTGCCACATCTGCTGTCGCTCATTCGTGCCTGACCTAACCCAAGCAATGACCCAGTTTTAATCACTTACGCAGTGTGTAGCTTCGTGTAACCTTGACATACGATTACTCATAGGCGCGGTTCCCGCCTCCCGAGACATAATCTTAAGTGATTAGTCTCAAATTTAAGGAACTGCTACAATTGTTACCCCATTAACATCCGGACGTAACACAAGCCAGACAAAGAAAACTAAAAACAGGACTGTAAGCAGACAAATACCCAAGATTGAGATGCGTTCTATCGGGACTCAGACAGAACATGGAAAGAGAAGCCCGTCACCAGCGAATTCTGTACTAGAAATTAACATGGGAGATGAGGACAGGTTCGAGGAAGATCGAGAGTACCCACAGAGACACAACCAAAGTAACGAAACAGCAGCACCACAACCACGTGCCGAAATACCTGAACCGACCAGGCGACAAGTTGAAGAAACACAATCAACTGCCTCAATCACGTCGTCAGTCAACATACCAGCGCCATTAAACAACGTAATGCCGTACGCCCAACCGTACGCCCAGCCTTTAAGGGGACATCCATTAATTACGTGAGCTATTTTTCGATCAGTTTAGACTCCTCCCCCCCTTAGGTGAGATTTAGTGAGATTTGTCTGGACCCCCCCTCCCCTTACGTGAGATTGACGCTAAAAATATTTTAAATTAAAATTCTTTTTATTATTCGGGAGAATAATAAACCATTCAAGTATACTATAGTTAATTTATTTAAATTAAATAAAATTCAAAGCAAAAAAGACCATTCGGCAGCCGAAATGGAAGTAGATTTCATCATAAATAGAAAAAAATATAACGAGGATTGTGTACAAAACTAGAGCTTCTAAATTCTATGCAATCGACAAAAATATGTATCGACAGAAAAATACTAAAACCAGTGCAATAGCAAATTTCATAATTGGCATAGCGGAATAGGACATAATTTTGAGACTACACATATGATATAGTACTCAAATTAAAGCTAATTTCAAGAGCTTTCAGATGCATTTTACAGAATTTCAATAAGTTATCCCAGTCAAAAGTTATTCGAATAAGAAAGTGAAAAAATATGAATTTTTATGATTTTCAGAATTTTGAAATCCTGGTATTTCTAAATTACTTGACCGATTAAGCTCATCTTCGAACTTGACTTTAGTATTTATCTGTAAAATAAGTATGTTGAGTTTAGTAGAGATCCGTTGTAAATTAGCGACGCTATCGTCGTGACAAGCCGCGTTATATCCGATATATATGTCGGAATAGCGTTTATTTGAGAAGGGCGCACGCTATTATTATTATCTTCAGACATTTTATTATTAATTAACAATATCCAGATGATACAAATATCGTACAACTTTATTAATACTTAATTATAGTTTCTTGTAACAATGTTAATAAAATAAGATATCGTTAATATTAAACGTTAGGAATAGTAAAACGGCGACAGACTTGGATAAGAGAACAAATCCACGATCAGAAAGACAGCCAACCGTTATCGCTCAATGTTCGGAGAGAACTAACTGTCCTCAAAACTTATTTTTCAATCCATAATTCCTACAGGTAAATATTCTAAAAAAAAAATATACAAGCTACGTCCTGCAATTGTACATTTCGATGATGTACACTTAGGTATTGCTGTCCCTTGACCGTGGCTACGTTAGACCCGCAGATGTGATCTTTCGAACCCGAGCCTACCGTCATAAAAGACTTAAAGAAAGTTTTACTAAAATTTCCTTAGCGGATTAAATCATAAAATTAAAATACTAAGTTTTATTTTCTAGCTATAAACTAGAAGTGCTTAGGATTTTCCCAGATATCCCTTAGAAAAACCCAGCTATTCTCATCTCCGACATATATATAAATATACATACATATATAAACTTTTGAACCATATGCATTTTCTGACTCAGCTCGACGAGTATAGTCGAAATATAGCAAAATTTTTTAAAAGTTCTGTCATGAGGACCAATGCAATAGTTAGATTTCTATGAAATCTACTAAAAAACAAAAACAAAACTCTTTTAAAATTTTTACTCAATCCATGGAGACTCATGTACTTTTTTTATACATACATATTATAATTTATATTATAATTATAATGTTAAAGAAATCCACCATTAGCTCTGAGAAGAGCTTGTTTAAATCATCAGCGTAAATGATTTTAATAGACATAAAATTTATTTTAGCGGGCAAAATAAACACTCAAAATAATTTTTTTTTTAATGTCTGTAATATTTTATATTTTTTGAAGTTGAGGTGAGATTTTTGATTATCCCCCCCTTGGTTTAGATGAGATTTGGTGAGATTTCATTGGACCCCCCCCCCATTCTAAGCTCACGTTATTAATGGATGTCCCCTTAGGAGAGGTTTATAGGTGAGGGGATCGGGGTCAGGAAAGAGGTAGTATAAAAAATAAACTTAGAGGGTAAGGATGAGCGAACAGTCGATAAACGAGACTGTGGAAGATAAGGAAGAAGGAAAGAGACAGGCAGAGACAAAAAGTGAGTCTGGGGAGTCGCGGGGTGGGGAAGGGGAACCAGTGTTTGAAGAGGGGCTAGAAGATGGAGAGGGAAGCGGAGGCATTGATAGAAGGGGCAAAGGAAGACTGAAGAAAGCGGAATCATGGAAGATTCTAAGAACAAGTAGCTTAGGGAATCTGGGCGATATTAGAGGATGGGTGAATACTAGTAAAAGGAAGGTAACAGAAGAGGGAGAAGATAGAGATACGAAAATAAGGGCAGTTGGAAACAAAAAGGAAGAAGGAATAGAAAAGCTTATAGAAAACGGATTTAAGAAGATCATAGAGAGACTAGATGAGGAGAAAAGAGAAAGGAATAAACAGATAGAGGAGATGAGAAAAGAAACCAGATTGCTAGAAGAAAGAATGGCAAGAAAGACGCAGGAGCTGGAATTGAAATTAGATAAGCTGAAGATAGAGGTACAAGCAGGATGGGAGGCAAGTATGACGAAAGAGGGAGTGGAAAAAGAAAATACGAAAATAAAGGAAAATAAAATAGAGAAAGAAATGAAAGAAAAGATCGAGCAGATAAGAGAGGAGTTACACAAAGGGAAAGATAAAGACAAAGGAACAAACGAAGATGAAGACAGACTATGGGAGTTAGAGAAGTGGAAAGAAAATAAGGAAAAAGAGGAAAGGAAAAATAATGTAATGATTTTTGGATGGAATGTGGAAGGAAAAATAGATAAAGAGAAGGTAACACAGTTCATTAAAAGTGAGATAGAGGTAGAAAGCGCGGTAGACGACATAGAAGAGGTAAGAAGTAGAGGAGAAGGGGAGAAAAAAATGGTATGGATAAGAATGAAAAACTGGGAAAAGAAGAAAGAAATAATGGAGAATAAAAGTAAGCTGAAAGGGAAAAAAGTATTCATAGAAAATGACAGAACAAAGAAGGAGAGGGAAGAGCAGAAAGAACTAAACAGAAGAGCCAGATGGGCTAAGGCAGAGGGTGCAAAAGAAGTGAAACTGGGGTTTGGAAGGCTGTGGGTCGACGGGGAATGGAAAGTGTGGGACAGCAAAAGAAAAATACTAGTGGGTACTACAGGGGGGAGAGAGTCAAAGGAATAGAAGTAAAAGAAAAAGGGGTGGGGGGTATAAGGGTTATGTTCTGGAACGTGGCGGGGCTTAGAAATAAAGACAAGGACTTCTGGGAATATTTATCAGAATTTGAACTAGTGGGACTGATGGAGACATGGATAGAGGAGAAAGACTGGCCAGAAATAAAGAAGAAACTGAATAAGGGGTGGAGATGGGAATATATAGCGGCAACGAGAGAAAAAAAAAGAGGTAGGGCGAGAGAAGGAATGATCATGGAAATAAGAAAAGAAATTGATAATGACGAGATGGCTAGAAAGAAAGAAGGCATAATAGGAATGCAGCTGCGGATAGACGGGAATATATGGAATGTTCTCACAGTGTACAACAGGAAAGGGGACAAAGCTCTTCTGGAAGAATTAGACCGATGGTTGAAAGAAAAAAATGAGGGAAACATAATTATAGGAGGAGACTGGAATGCAAGAACGGGTAGAAAAGGAGGTATAGAAGGGCTAAACGAGGGAAGAATGAGATGGTCAGAAGATAAGGAAGTAAATAAAGCAGGAAAAAATATGCTTGAGTTGCTGGAGAGAAAAGGATAGATTATAATGAACGGAAACAAAGGAGGAAAGGAAGGAGGAAACTGGACCTTCAACAGAGGAGAGACAAACTCAGTTATTGACTACGTAGTAACCAACGTTGAGTCTTGGGGAAAAGTGGAAAAATTTGAGGTAGGATTGAGACTGGAGTCGGATCACCAACCAATTACAACAGTGATAAGGAGAAAAGAAGGAGATTTGAGAAGGATTGAAGAAGCTGAAAGGATACAGCACAGATGGACGCAGTGTTGGGGAGAAAAAAAAAGAAAGATATTTGAAGAAAGAGAGGAAAAGTTAAACTGGCTGGAAAAGATGGGGGAGGAGAAATGGATAGAGTTAAAAAAAGGAGTAAAAGAATGCATGGTGATTAAGAAAAGAGAGCCTAAAGAAAAAGGAAAATAAGAATGGTGGGACGAGGAGTGCAAGAGATTGAGAAGGAGACTGAATAGGGAAGGAAGGAAAAGAAAGGGGATGGAGACGTTGAGAAAGCTAAGGAAAAAATATAGAAAACTGAAAGAAAAAAAAAGGAGAAAATGGGAAGAAAAGATGGAAAGAAAAATAAGGAAGATTAAAAATGAAAGAGACGCATGGGAATTTATTGGAAGAGACTGGAAGAAAAGAGAAAACATTTCAGAAAAGTTCGAGATAGAAGAATGGAGAGAACACTTTATGAAAGAATTAGGAGGAGTGGAGAAGAGACCTGAAGGATTAAGGAAGAGAGGAGGTGAAGAAGACACAGAACTAGACAGTGAACCATCAGACGAAGAAAGCCTACAGGAGCAATATGGAAGATGGATAATGGGGGTTGGGAAGCAAGTCCCTGGGTACATCGTGAGAGAGGAATTAAAGCTAGAAAAAATGAGGGTAAAATCGGGATACAGGGCAATTAGGTTTGAAGAAAAGGTTAGGATGGGGACAGAGAGAGAACTGTTGAAAAAATGTGTAGAAGAGAGGGGAGGAAAAAATTGGAGGGATAAGAGATGGGATGAAGGGAGGGATAGGTATATGAAGAGATGTGGATGGTCGAATACGGGACTGGAAGTAGAGTGGAGCAGAGGGGTGATGAGAGGGTTAGAGATGAAAAACAGGGACAGGGACATCCAAAAGCAAGAAAAAAGGGCTAAAATAAGAACATCTAGGTTTAATAGCAGATTTGAGGAATTCATGACAGAAAGGGAACCGGAATACTGGGGGGAGAGAGCTAGATGGAAAACGATAGAGAGAAAAATGATAGCGAGATTAAGATGTAAGAGTGAATGGAGAGGAAACTGGTATTGGATGGTTGATGAGGAAAGAAAGTGTAGATTATGTGGGAAGGAGATGGAGACTCTAGAACACGTAGCTAGGAGGTACAGGAAAATGAGAGGATGGGAGGAATCGTGGGAAGAATTATTAAGACAGAAAGGGAAAGGGGTTGAATGGATGGCTGAATGGTTGAAAAGAATTGAAGAAAGAGAAAGAAAGGAATAGAGTCAGAGAAAATGAAAAGAATGTAATGGCAGGAAACAACTCGGATGATGGCAAAATCCCGGCACTCTGGCGGTAAATAAAAAGGATAGGTTTAAGGATTAAGAAATGATTAAAAAAAAAAAAAAAAAAAAAAAAAAATGATTTTGTAAGGAGTGAAGGAGTGAATGAGTGAAGAATGTAAAAAGAATATGTGGATAGCCAGTACCCGGGCTAGATCGGGTACACATGTACGCTAACTAGCAACATGTAGGTTAAGGCAATTTATGTATACATTTATTTATAATTTTATGTAAATATTTATACTGTGCTAATAAACTGAACTGAACTGAACTGCAACTATCAGGTTATATTAGGAATTACGATTTTGATAATAGTAGTAACTAATTAAAATAATAACAGTTATTATTACTGATTACCATCATAATAGTAGTAGCTACTATCAGGATGGTAAATACTACAATTCAGATGGTTTACTTAATTATTTAAATAATATTTACTACTATCGAATTCAGTTAATAGATTTTAACATAACTAGATAATAAACTCTACTATAAAATTTTCTCCGTGTAACTAAAAATTAATTTTTAATCAACTCAAAAAAATAAATTCTGTTATTAGAACGAGTTTAAATATTTGTGCCAAAAGTTCTGTGCATTTTATGACTCTAAATCAGAACAATTTTTAGTATACTTTAGAATAACTTATTTTTTTTTAATTTATTGATTTTTACTTTTTTTTGTCCGCCCTGACCAGCAAAGCCTCGGCTTTGCAAAAGTCGGGCGGCGCCCCCCTCGCGCCCGGCAAAACCTCGGCTTCGCCTCGGTTCTGCAAAATCCTACCACGGAGTTGCGTACTTTCGGGTGGAGAGCAAGAAAAATAGTATACAACCCACGACTCGGCCATCATATCTCATACGCCAGGAAATCCAACTTTTTGGCCTAGGGTTGTAATATACTATTTTTGCGGCGCCCAAAAAAATCTTTTCTTGGGCCGAGAAACTATAGGAAAAATTTTGCTTTTTGATTTTAAACAAAAAGAACACGTACCGACGGGCAAGTGAAGTTTTTCAATTGAAGATTTTTCGATAAAATTATAGTTTTTTGAAATATTTGTTACGGTATTTAAATTCGGACAAGAAATCATGAAAACAAGTTTGTAGGAAATTAAATTCTCTACAAAAAAAAGATTTTCTTTCGGTTTTAGATGAAGTTCATATCTATCGAGATAATCTAATTAATAAACTCATAAACTCCATTGTCAGTCTTTTACCACTAAAAACTTTATTTTTCCAGAAATATGAACAATTTTATATAAAAGTTATAACTTCTATTCACAATAAGTTATTTAAATAGGTCTCGTAAATGATAACAAAGTTATAGTTGATATTATTTCCTTATTTTCAAAACGCAAAAATTTGGGGTATTCAATGACGTATGCTAAATACGTTAAAAAAGATTTTCATTAAGATTTAAACTTGCTACTAACTTTTTTTCATGTTTTTACAAAGTTATAAACAGTACTTGGAGTTTTTTGATTTCATATTTTTTTGTAAAATACGATTATTTTTTTTCGAAGTTTTATGAACGTGGACTTGGCGCGGTTTTTTACAGTGAAACTGTTTTTGTTCGGATATTGTATACAATGGTTGGTATTAACACTCATGTTTTTAGTTACTGTATCAATTTACAGCTAAAAAAAAGTTAGTTTTAAATATGAAGTTTTATTTGAATTATTTAATGCGAAGAGAAAATTTTATTGATTTTAACACTAAAAATAATTTTTCATTTGTTGTCTTTAAATTGTCTTAAAATGATCTTAAATTAGTCTTAAAAAAGTCAGTAAATAATTTAGAAACTATTTTAAGATGATCTAACAGCAACAGAACCCCGGAAAATTAAAACGCAACCTCTTAAAAAATTCTTAAAATTGTCGGATAATAATTTTTCAACAATTTTAAATTCAATTACATATTTAAACAATTTTAAATTCCAAAACATCTTACTCAAAAATGTTGTTGTTAGAATGTCGTAATCGTCTAGAAAATGTCTGAAAATTAATTTTTATAACAAATTCGAGAACCGAATTTCGAAAATCTGCTCCGGCAGTATAGATCCGCCAAGTTACCATCACCATCACGATGATGATTATCTGAAGTCAGCATAATTTTCTACAGAATCGATTGATAGTATGTGTTTGTCGGTCAGTGTCTTACTATCTGTCGATAAGTAACCATTCATGAATAACTCAAACAGTTAGCTCGGTTGCTTATCACGTGACTGTAAATTTTTCTCAATAGTTACGTCAGAGTTCGCTAGTAATGTACTCGATGCGTACATAATTTCAGTGATTTTAGATTTAGAGACAGTTTGGCCAGAATGCAAACTTATAATTCTTGGATTATTATTGCTATTGGGTTGTACCATGACCCCCTTTTATACTGAGTTGCACATGCAACGGTACTAACCAACCGTAAAAACATCGGTCTGAAAAGACCCGTGTGGAACAACTTGGACACACAATTGATTCGGTCCGCAGGAAATGCGCATTCCTCTGGCATTATCCGATGTTAACCTTCTCTCTCACTCAGGCGACGTCGCCAAGTCCACACGTTCGCCCAATCCTTACATCTCCCCTCTTTGATGCCAATAATGCACCGAGGGCGCGCCTTTCGTTGTTTTGTGAAATCAAGGACACGTCCAGAAATATCCACTTTTCGATGGATGAAGATAATTATGTGATGCAAACAGTTGTTACTTATCAAACAATCAAATTTATTGCTGCTTGAATAATAATAACAACAATAATAATAATATTCTTTATTATTTATCATTATCACTTAATACAACATACTTTTAATGCAACATACCGCGTTCCACGTTATTATATCTATAATTCCTAATTCTCCTGAACACAACATTAATATTTAATTATAGTAATTATCTGCGGTTTTACTCTTAAGATTTTGATCTATGATAACTATTTATCTCTAGGTGAACTAACAAATTCACTCAATCTCAATGAGTGTAGATATTTTTAAAACTAACGAATGTCTGTCATAATATTTTTGTAATAATTTTAATAATTACTTTATACATTAAATTTTTAAAATATGACAGTAACAATTTAAATTAGTTGAGTGAATATAAGCTTGAGTTGTACGAGCACAAACTCTTTATTGGTGTGTATTCGCGTCAAAATCAATATTTGGCGTCACTGGGTTATGATAACACGGCCTGCCTGTCGGGAATATACTGTCTATATTGGTGCGCTTTTAGGTGACGCGACAAACATATTGCATTAATATGCACGCATAAGTTGTGTCACGCTACCAGTTTGCATTGTGATCAAATTTTTACTAATCTCTATAATATAAATGATAACATTTTATTCAAAACTGTAAATAAGTTTAAATCGGAACAAAGATTGCCTTAATTTAATATATTTTTATTTTATTAAAATTTTCATTAATCTTATAAAAAATGAACATTTATGTAACTATTTATGAATTGTGACGAAATCAGTTGCCACTTGTTAATATCATGTATCATAACTATTTTTATTTTTCGTTCATTGAAACTGATGGTGAATTTACATAAATTTAAACTTAAATAGAAAATAAACTAGATATGTATTGTAAATAATCTTTTTAATAAGTAATTATTTATGACGTACCATACATTAAATTTATATATTTTTTATGAAAGTAAGTGTATTAGATATTAATTGCAGTTTTTTCTATTAATTAAAAAATTTGTTCGACTTAAAAGTTTTTCATATTTACGAGAAATATTATTTTAATATTTTATTATAGACTAAAAGAAGGATCGATGCGGCGGGTGAGAGATACCACACTTTTTATACCTCTAATATATATAATAAATAAGTACTTTGTGAATAGTGATGTAACATGCAGCGAAAATCAATTTTTTCTTTGTGTGTAAGATCTTAAAATAATGAATTTTTAATTCAAGCTTGTTGGTCAGTCATGTTGTTTCGCAGAAATACTAAGCTGGCTGTAAAGATCTTTTCATAGTAAATTATTTTATCAATAACCATAATGGTAAAATTATTTTATCATTTTCAAGAGCTTAGAAAATTTATGAAGCAAAAACCCATAAAATTACATGAAGTATTATTATGCCGATAAATTTTATTTTGAAGATTATGACAGAAGAGGCAAGTTCGTACTTGACCAGATAGGCTCATTGAGTCACTGATGATGTTTGCAGATATAGTGTAAGGATAAATAAGACGGAAATCATATAAAACTTTATTTAAAATGAAATGAAGTTCATATTACTGTTTTTAAGTTGAAAAGAGAAACACAAATACTCATTACGATTAGGATAGAAGGACAAATTTAAACTTCGGGAAACGCTAAAAACTTTAGTCGAAATCGAGTTATTGAAAATTAGCAGCTCAGCATAGTTAATTTATCACTTCACAACTGAATTCTATACATATGATCTTTTGATAAGAACAACTAATTTAATGTCAATAATGAAAATCTATATAGAAAATATAATTTTGGAAAATTTTAAGTTAAAAAAAAAAAAACAGATTGTTTGATTAAATTTATTATACCGAGGCACGAGTCAAAGACAGTTCGAACGAAAGCGAGACAGAAAGAGAGAGTGAAAGAGAAAGATTATATCACATTACTGGATCTTCATTGTTGTGATTAATATATTTTTTTCTTCGTTTTTTTATTTCTTATTTAGATGTAATTTTTTATTTATTTTTAAGAATCGTGCTCTGGTCCTCATGATTGATATCAATTGTATCTGCATGCAGTAAAAAAATGGTGTAAAATTTTGTGTTAAAATACTGCAATAAAGTAAGCCACCTAACACAATTGAAGTGTAATAATAACACAAAATAGTGTTAACTGAAGTTTAAATTTTTTCACTAATTATGTTTGATACGATTTTTGATTGAAAACGAAATTTAAATAAATAATTTGATGAAAAGAGACTCACAATGTTTATTTGAAAATTAGT